GTAGGCTCAGCACATGCCAGCCCTTAGGAAGGCTGATCTGTGGTGGTTTTTATCTGTTGAAGAGAAACAGAACTGTGCAGAAACAAGACAGAAACAAGGATGATGTGTTAGTCAGCTTTTCCACTGCTGTGACTAAAAGATCTGATCAGAACAATTGTAGAGGAGGAAAAGTTTATTTGAGGGCTCATGGTTTCAGAGGTCCTAGTCCATAAGCGGCCAGCTCCATTCCTCAGGGCTCAAGGTGAGACAGAACATTATAGTGGAAGAGTGTGGCAGAGGGACGCAGCTCAATCACAATCAGGAAGCAGAGAGAGACTCCACTTGCCAGGTTACAAATATATACCCAAAGCCCTGCCCTGATTCCTACCTCCCCCAGCCATACTCCACCCCTTCTCAGTCCCTATCAGTAGTGGATTAGATTGCTGATTAAGACTCTTATAACCCAATCATTTCTCCTCTGAACCTTCTTGCATTGTTTTACACATGAGCTTTTGGAGGGCACTTCACACCCAGATCTTAACAGATGGAAAGATAAGGCATTGGCCTTGCCAGTATGGAATGCTATCACATTTCGGTGGCTTAGAAGTCCTTTCCCAGCTTGACTGAGTCTAATGTGTGTACATGGGGAGGCCAAGCAGGAGAGGTCTCTGTCCATGAACTCATACATTGTTTTGCCATCCTGGGATTCCTCTGCTGTACCTAGTGAATCCAGCACCATATGAGGAAAGAGAAAGTGTGGAGGATTAGGCAGGAAGTTTCATGGCTCCAGGCCTGATGGCAGCGTATGGCACTTCTGCCTATGTAGTAGTGATGAGAGTGAGTCATGGGACGTGTGCAAGGGAAACTGGGAAATGTAATCTATATGTGTGCACAAAATGGTTTGGTGGTCAACTCTGCATCTGCCGCAGTCTGCCACAGTATTCAGTCGTGATAATAATTATCACCATGAGTAAAGGAACATCATAGTGGTTCCTCATGATGTCTTGTGAGCATTCCTAATTATGCAGTCTTTACTTTCCTGAGCCTCAGAGAGGGCCAGTTCTCATCCCCAGAGTGACACGTGTGTGCCTTCGCCCCTGTGAGCCATTCTTGACTGTATCAATGGACTGAGGATGGCCAAGGTGACAGGCGGGTCTCAGCTTTGCCATGGAGACCATGTGAATGGGGCTTCTAAATGCTCAGAAGGTGGCCTTCTCTTCCTTTCTGTTCTACCTCTGTTGTTACAAAATGAATCACCCCAAAACTCAATAGCTTAAAATACAGCATTTGCTTTACTATTATCTACCACAGTTTCTGTGGGTCAGGAAACCACGAGGGGGTTAGCTAGATGGTTTGAGCTCCAATTTCCTTCTAAGTTAGCCAGCTGGTGACTGGCTGGAGCCTTGAGGATGTGTTTACCCCGCATGCCTGCCCTCTTGGCTGGAAGGCTCTAACAGCCAGATGGACTCCTTGAGTCCCTCTCCTGGTCTCATTAGAAGATCTCCAGATCTCCTGCTTTTCACATGGCAGCTCGAGGCTTCAATGCAAGTGCTGAGAGAGAGAAAGAGCGCTCATGGCATGACGAGTGCACCAAGCCCCCGGCAGCCACCTGTTGCCTCCTCTAGCCGCAGACATCCAGCAGAATTACTTCTGTCACAATCTTGTTTTCCCAGCAGTCTTCATGGAACTGCTTGGGTTCAAGGAAAATGTACACAGACTACCTACATCTTTTGATGGTGAGTGTCAGGAAAAAAACTGTAGACACATTTTGCAGCCAGCATGCTTTCTTGCCCCCCATCTACAGGCATCCTTGCTCCCCCCATCTGGGTCACCCCTCGTGAGACCACTACTCATCCTAGGCAGACATGTACTGATTCCCTCAGAGGCCAGCAGGGATCACGAAGTCTGGCTAAACATCCAGGGAAGCCTAGACTGGGGCAGTGGGGACTGGAGTGGGATGGCAGCTCCTCATTAGTGTCATTTAATTAATTTGCATCTCCAGCCAAGTATGTTTGAAGGCCAGGCTTGGTTTTTCGCCATCCTATGGTCTATACGTAGGAGATGGTAACAGCAACCATGGAAACTCAGAGAAATTAAGTGATTTAGTCAAATTCACAGCTGGGGCTGGGAGCAGAGGGTCGGACAGAGATTTGAAACTGGACCTGTCTCCCATCAAAGACCACATGCTCCCTGGCTTCTCTATGGTGGAGGTAGACAGAGGCTAATAGCAGAGCTCAGCTATGGGGAGAGCCCTTCCCTCCTCTCTGGCCCCCTTCACCACTCTGTATCCAGGAGCCATGGAAATAGATGTCATAGAAACACTGTGATGGAGAGGTAGCAGGAGGGGCTCCTCTTGGTGCTGTCACTCTTTCAATCAAGAAATACACCCTTTTCACCTATAGGAAGATGGCCATAAAGGGGGATCTTGGGGCGATTTATTTGTAGTCACAAAGCTTGAGGTGTAGGGTGGTCAGCTTCTCTTAAGGAACTAAAATTTCAGAGTAGAGCTGGGAGCTTACACATCCAGTAAATGAGATAATCGTAGTAGCCATGATTTAGTATGTAGCAAATGTTGGATGAGCACTGTGTATCTATCATCTCATTTAACCCTCTTAAAAGCTATTGAGGTCAAGGTCATCATCCTTGTGTTGTCAGTGGAAAACAGAGCCTCAAAATGAAACAAACTGCCCTTAGGTCATCAGGTGGCTAAGCTCAGAACTGCTTGGCTCTGAAGCCTGGGTTCCCAAACACTGACTCTGCCAGGAGAGCCCCACAGGATACCCACCCCTGCCTTATCCTTGCACTTCAGCAGCACATTTTGTGCCCCTTTACATAGTAATATTAATTGAAGATATTGGTGCCACATCCATCAGCACAAGTTGCTACTATTACATGCTGTGTCTTGATAATTAAACCCTTAGTTGCATTGTCATATTTGCAGTTGTTGAGGTCCCCAGACATCTGTCTCAGTGCAGTCGGAAGGTGAGAAGAATGTGCATGATGTTGGGGGCTCACACATACGGCCTGGCTGCTGGTTCTTGCCCCTCTCACAGTCCTTCTTGACTTCCCACTGCTCCTAATGCTCTTTCTTCGCAGCACGCTCCATGGTCTGAGAAGGCGAATGCTGCTTCCCCATGTCAGGATAGCTAGGAAGCAACCTGGATGGCTGTTAAAGATTATGGAAAGCTAGATGAGGAAGGGAGGTGGTACCCAGGCGAAGTCCCTTGAGGACTCACTTGATTTTTATTTCTGATTTTAGGAGAATAGTCCCTCTCAAGCCTGATTATTTTTCAGACAAAGTGCTGGAATCTGAAAACTGTTTCCATGTTCCTTTTATGTAAATGTATCATTCCTAAGTCTTTCTGGGGCATTGTTGCATGATGGGAACTTTAGAATCCAACTAGGAAAGCCAAAGAAATGTGAATCCTCGGATGCTGTGGGGCTCTCCTGACAGAGTCAGTGTTTGGGAGCCTGAGCTCCAGAGCCAAGCAGTCCTGAGTTTGAATCCCTGCACAGCCAGCTGGTGACCTAAGGGCAGTTCATCACTGGGAAGATGCCTCATGGTGGCCATGTGCCCTCTAATGACATTCTGGCCAATGATGACCCACATATCCAAAAGTGACCCCTTAAGATGATACTGTCTCAGGACATTGTAGTTTTCTAGTTTGTGTAAGTATACTCAACAATGTCTGCACAGTGATAAAATCACTCAATGACACATTTTTCAGACAGGTCTGATTATTAAGTGTTGTGCCACAGAGTATAGATGTTCTGGAGGAGAGAGGGCCAATTCACAGATACCTGGTACAAACAGCAAGGGCCAAATCTCTGAAGCATTTCTCATGTGGAAAGCATAATATGTAGAGATTAATTGTTAATCATCCATTGTTAAGAATTGTAACATTTTATTCTTGGTTCCTTCTTTAGCATCCATACTCATAGATGAAGTTAGTGAACGTAGAATATTTATATTTATATGCAGTTTCCCTTCATCCTGGTTCCACCACTCATGATGTCCCCTACATCCTTGACTCCAATATTATTACCAGAGGCTTTCATGGAGATTTCTCCTCTTTGGGGCCATTTTTAGGAGCATAAGCTTACAAGTGGAGGCAGGAGTATTCATGCAGCTGTCTTTACCTAAGGAATGAGATGAGCAGCTACCTCTACTATGTGCCAGGGACATACTCTACTATGTTGGGCTGTGGAATTAAGTGAGAGATGGTCTTTGCCCTCAGGGAGTATGCAAAGTAGTTGGAAAAATAGATGTTTTGTTTGTTTGTTTGTCTATTGGACACTCTTGTCTATTGGTATATAGCTATATATCAAAGTCAGTAAAGATTCTTTTGGTTTCAAGTGATAGGAAATTCAATTCAAACTGGTTTAAGCCAAAATATGAATGTGATGGTATAGATGAGCTCATGTAATGTTAGACTACAGAGGCATGTGGGTTCTGAGAAGGTCCAGACACTCATATGACAGCACAAAGAATGTCTTTTTCATCTTCTGGTTCTGGGACACTGTCTTTTAATGGTGGCAAGATGGCTTTGGGGAAACCTGAAGTTCAGCAATCCCAGTTGATACAGAATTATTGTTAGTATGAGTCGTGTATGCATTTCTCAACCAATTGTTGTGATCAGAGTGATTGAAGATACTTATAAGCCTGTCCTGGATCAGGTGCCCATTCCTCAGATCCCTAGAATCCAAATGAGGAGTTAGCCCCACATGTGCGACATGACCTGAAAGCCAGGGAAGTGGGGATATCCAAAGCAAAGTTTGGTAGTTGAAGAAGGGGCCATAAAAGTCAGGCACTTAAGTATAACAAAGCTCCTCTACCTAATAATGAATGGCTTCTTCCAAACAGCATCAATGAGGCTGGTTGGGCATGCTCAAGGGATAGCATTACTCATTGCAATTGCCTTCTCCTTGACAGGCAGCAGCCTCTCAGTCCAAGCCAGTCTGGGTTGAAGAGACCAGAAGTAACCTGCAAAAATCTGACCTGATTTTGCTTTCCTTTGCAGTGACCTGGACAGAAATAATATCACCAGGATTACCAAGATGGACTTTGCTGGGCTCAAGAACCTCCGAGTTTTGTAAGTAGCAGATGGTTCTCCAGTGCGTTTTCATTTTCACCTTTTTAGCCTTGTGAAAATGTTCTCTGCCCTGACCTCACACTCCCAAGCACTGGGCAACAGGAATTCACGATCTTGCCGCAGAAAACCCTTCATTACTGTACCCAAGTGCTCACAGGTATCTCATTCCATGTCTGGATGCTGCTGGCTGGGCGAGATAGATGGAAGGGCTTGCTTCCAGTGACAGGGAAAACAGAGCTATAAATGAATAAATCAATATGCCCAGCTTCCAGACTGACAGCAATGTCAAGTTGACTAACCATGCTTCCCTTCCATAGAGATTATAATTTCTTCTCTAGCCTGTACATTAAAATAGCAATCAGGACAAAGGTTATTTATCTTGTTGCTTAATGGAGAGGAAGGAGGGAGAGGGTCAGACAGGGTCGGAGCCCTTGCTGAAGGTTCACAGCTGTGCAGCTAGGTAGCAAAATTTGAGATGGGCATTGATGGAATAAGGGAGCAAGAAATATGTGGTCTCATAATTGTGTATTGAGCACTTTCACATATCCTTAAGGCTGCGAGTGGTAAGAAGCTTCCCAAATGCTTGTTTACTGAAAAGTCTAAGACTCCCAGAGTGCCATAGGAATTCACCTCCCTGGGAGCAATTGGATCCTCTTTCCCTCTCTACTCAGTGGATGATTTTGGTCTGTCAGCCTGGCTGTAGACATGAAGTATAATTTGGGCAATGTGGCCACAGCCTTGATGCCACAGAATATCAGCTAGCATTTCTTTTTCTACTAAAAGTGACGGCTTAAGTGTTAGTACCTAAAAGCCATTTCTTTCTTTTTCCTAATAGCCTGTATAACAGGGTGAATTTGTACTTAGAAGTCACGGACTTAGAACTAATTGCCAGTATAACTTGGGCAAATCTCTGTACCCTTTTGGGCCTTGGTTTTCATCTGTAATATAGGGAATGAATAATTAGATGTCCTTACTCATCATAGTTACATGTAGAATGCTTTATGGTTTTAACATTTTAATGAACAGTCTTAGATTATTCTCAATATCACTTGTGAAGCGATTCTTTTATAGCATTATTTTCCCAATTAAGATGTTAATAATAACAATGATGATGGTAACCAACAAATACATGATACTTCCCATGGATCAAACATATATTTAAGTAGTGCTAACATATGAGATCAGCATCATTATGCAGAGGAAACTACACAGAAAGGTTAAATCATCCCAGCTCTGCATAGCAGGTGACTTAAAGAGTTGGGACTGGACCCCAACTTTGTGTCTTTGAAGTTGAATGCTGTGTTGCTATACATTTGCATTCTAGAAAGCTCAGAAAACCAAGGCAGTAACAGTTTACCCATTTTGAAAATGCAACAGGGGCTGGGGGTGTAGCATAGTGTAGAGCACATGCTGAGCATGCACAAAGCCCTGGGTTCAATCTCCAGCAGGAAGAAAGAAAGGAAGGAAGAAGGGAGGGAGGGGAGGATAAGGGGAGGAGAGAGGGAAGAAAAAGAAGAAAGTGCAGCACTGACGAGCAGGAGCTTACCTGAGTTTCCCTAAGCACCATTGTGTGGGGATGCAGGGATCTGATTGCTGGGCTTCCAGCCACCAGATGCTACCAGATGCTTCCTGGAACAGATATTTTTGCCTGTCTTTGGTCTTGAATATTCTATTGTCATCATCCTCAGAGGGAAGATCCACCCTGTGCCAAGTCTTCCTTTTGCCTTGAGCAGCTATGTTTCTGTTATGTGACTGACAGCTCTGAGAAGCCGAGCATGGATCAGAATTGAGATTGAGATAAGGGTGGGGGAATCCCATGGTTCAGTTTTAGGATGATCTTTGGTTAGAGGTATAAGCAGGAGACTCCTGATTCAAGGTGATTTGCCCAGTTAAAAAACACATTTATTTTGGCCTATTTTTTTCCCATTTCTGCCCTCTGCATCTGTCAAGAGTTTTCCCTTCATATAAGTTGGAAATTTCATTGAATGCTTCATTTTCTAAGTCAAAAATAACCCTTTGATGTTTCTTACTGTTACATCAGAAAGACTAATAAAAATTCCAATTTTCATATCTACTGTCTGCAAATAGAAAGTTTAAAATAATCACCAAAGATCATATTAATATCCTCTGGATGGGTCTACAGAATTCCTTTGACTACAGTTTATCTTTTCAGTTAATTGTTATATCCCTCTTATTTTGATCAGCAATGCCAAAAAGCCTTTTACCCCTACTTTATAGACACTATTAATATACTGTTTCATTATCTTCCTTATCAATTCAAAGACAATCCCATTCAAGTGGTACTTTATTACTGCAAAGGAATCTGTTAGGTAGAATAGCTGAAATGCTTTCTAACACCAATAAAATATCTAAATATTTTAACAGATTTCCCCTCAATTTTCTTTTTAGCTGAGTAACCTAGATAACTATCTTTTTTTTTTTTTTTAAAGCTTTCATCGCATCTTGGCACATTTCCCATATCTGTTCCTTATTTACAATTTATAGTGAAGCCAGAAAAGACTCTGTAGTCTTGAATAATTTGAGTTTGCCACCCATTCCCCCCCACCCCCCGCCAAGCTGTTAATCCAGTGCAGGTGAATGGGTGAAAACAGATAAAACAGATTGGCAGATTCTAGTCTCATCCCAGAGTAATCTTCCCTAAGTGAAATGTATTCAAGGAGGAGAAGGAAGAATTGCCCAGGAAAGTTATTTCTCTGATGGGGTGGGAGTAGGAAAAGGTCTCTTCTGGTGGTATCAATTAGAGGCCCTTTCTTAGTCATCTATTTAAGGGCTGTGTGCTCACAATGTGGGAGCCAGCTTTATCCCAAATGGGGTTAATAAAAGAGTTAAACTCCACCCCTGCCATCGTCACATGAAGGCCATTTTCGATTCAGATCTAGTGCTAAAACTAAAAAAATAACAATGCCAAACAGCTGAAAATGAACACAGTCTGTGTCTCTCTAACTCAGAGCAGACTCTAGCCATGGGCCGCCCTCTGGAAATCCAGCCCCTCCTGGAGCTCCTGTCCCCTGAGGCTGACCTGGGGACAGGGTGGTTGAAGTGGCTTTCATGTCTGCTTGCTCCTTTCTCAGCTCAGAGGTCTCCGTGGAAGTTTCATGGCTTATTCATTCATTGACTGTTTTATTCACCAAATGGCGACAGTTTATTGAGCCTGTAAGTGCCAGATACTAGCTGGACTCTGATAGATCTAGGAAGAAGGGCTCAAAAGGGGCTGAGACAACTTTCCAGCAGGTGACACTGATGTAGGGCAAACAAGGAGAGCTAAATAACAGGAAAGGTGTGGGTTGGGGTAAGAAAATCCCAGGAGATGCTGTTCCCCAGGCTAGTGGCACCAGGGAGCTGCTGCTGCCCTGAGCTTTGAGGAGCAGTGGGCAGGGTGGTCTGCAGGGCCCAGCCAAGGCAGGGGCAACAGGAATTCACGATCTTGCCGCACTGTGGTCTTGGAGAGAAGGTCATGGTCAACCTGAAGTTATGACAGGAGGGGAGGGAATATGTCCCCCACTGCACTGTCCTCTCACTGTGTCTCCTGCCCCGGGAAACTCCCTCAGGGTGAATCCAACAGGAAGCCAGAGGCCACAAAGCTTCTAGAGGAAGCAACTAAAAGTCCGCCTCCAGGGCCTGAGCAAAGTGGAGAAAGGGCCCCAACATCTCATTTGTGTCTCAGTGCCTCTTTCTGAAGCCCAGAGTGTCAGCTTAATGAGTCCAGAAGGAAGAGACGTCTCCTGGGAGGCTGGACGAGGCTCCTCCAGAAACCCACATGAAATGTGACACTCAGTGAAGCCCAGTGAGCAGGCCCTAGTCCCTGGAACTGAAGGGCTCGCACTTTAGAAGATGCGCTAATGTGAATGTGTTAGCTTTCTAAGGCTCCTCGACATGTGGCAGATGGAAAAGGAGAGAAAGGAAGGAACATCTATTAACCCTTTAATTGTACTTCTGATCCTGGACTTGACGGTTTATTTATTTCATTTTTATTCTAAGAACTTGTGTGATGTTTTATTTTCTCTTTTACAAAGTCAGAGACTGAGTCTCAGAGAGTTTGACTAGCTAGCCCTATATGACAGCATCAGCTGGTAAGAAGTGGCCGGGGCTTTCCAACTGGCCCAGGAAGCTCACCGTGTAGGGCCAAGGCTCCCAGCCTCACCAGCTGGGAGACCATGGGCAAGCGATTTCTCCTTGACCTGTCTCTCAGTCTCTAAATTCAACCATTTCTGTACCTGTGAAGGGAGGGGCCTGTAAGGGGCCAGAGCTGAAAAAAATGTGAGGTCAGAATGGACGAGGACTGCAGCAAACGGCTGACCTACCTGACCGTTGATAGTGGGAAATAAGAATGTAAAATACCATGAGTCTAACAAATGCCTCTACCGGTCCTGCTGGGAACTTAATGAGTCCTAGGCTAGCCTTCTCCTTGATGTCAAGTCACGGTGTGCTGGGGCCCAGAGTTGTCTTTAGTTCTCCATTCATCCTGTAAGCAGTTCTGAGGTGACCGCTGTGCTATAGCTCCCTGTGTTAGCCTGGGAGTCAGGTGCTGAGAGGAGTCCTTTCCCTTAGTCACAGGGGCGGGGGTGGCGGGGGGGACGGACGTTAAAATTAAACACAGAGGCCCAGATGTTAAATCCGCAAAGTGCAAAGGTTATGACACATCTCCGATGGGGGACGTCACGGGAGGTTCATTTTGAACTGAAGACATGCTCTTCCGAGGCTGTGCTTCCTCTCCTGCCATTCCTCGGCTGCTTGAGGCACCTCTCCTTCTGTCTAATCTGGAGGAACCCGGGGTCTTTCCTAGACTCCACTTTCAAAGAAACATCCTGCAGTTGCAACTGTGCCCCCATCCCATTCAGCCACCAAATGCCATCCGCATCCTTTTCTGGCCCAGGCTGGCCCCACCCACATGGAAGCAATGCGGCTTCCTGGCTTCCCTTCCTACTGTTCAACTAATCCATTTTAAGCTGCCATTTTTTTTTTTTAAGGTAGGGAACAAATGTTTTATTGTATGTGCAGTTCTTAGGATGTGCCACATGCATGAATCAAACTTACTTAAGCAGAGTGTTTAGGATTTTTAAATCACCTTCTGGGAGGCTTAGGGGGTGAACAAGGCTCGTGGCTGGGTGCAGGAAGACAGAGGTTTTGGGATCATCATCATGAGGTTGAGCTCAGCCAGGCCCTGGGCCTAAGAAGTTCCTGGGACCAGGCAGATTTTCTCAGTTACAGCCAGCTGCCTTACAGCAGCTTCACCCTTCTGCTAGGGTGAGCAGGGAAGGCCCTTTTCAATGAAGTATTTTTGAATCCTTGGAGGAGGGACCTCTGAGGGAAGAGATGTGTGGTTTCTATAAGCAGCACCTCTACCTCTCTCTGTTCTAATGCAATATCCTGCAGCGCTTGGGGGGAATTTGCTAAGAACATTCTTAAAATAGAGGCCTGGAAACCAATCTGTCAGGTAGAAGTGTGCAGGCAGTGAAACCCTGGTTGCTGTGACACCATGCTGGGATGTGCGTTATCTTGTCCCACCAAACTGGTCCCAGTGGAGGGGCCAAGCAGCCTTGGCCGAATGGCCTGAGGCTTCACAGGAGGATCCACAGTCCAGCTTTGTCCTTGACCCTCGCTGCCTCTTTGGTTCTAGGCATCTGGAAGACAACCAGGTCAGCGTCATCGAGCGAGGCGCCTTCCAGGATCTGAAGCAGCTGGAGCGATTGTAAGTAAAGGACACCTCCTGGCTTCAACGTGTTGGAGGGACGTTTTGTTTTATTTTGTAAATCGGTCTGTGACCTTGTTTAAAACGAGTCTCCAATGTTCAATAAAATGTTTCTATTATATTGAAAGCCCCTCAGATGCACTGAGATCTGCTTAAACTCCCCTTCCTGAGAAGATGCTGGACTCGGCCTCTGGGGTCTGTTTGCTCCCGACCCCTCCAGCTCTCTCGGTTTCTTTACGTGGGGCAGGTTTATACCCAAGCCCTGGCCTTCCCCTCCTTCCTGGAGGAGGGCCGCCTGGAGCTGCCCTGTCATGGAAGTCACATCAGATCCTCCCTGCTCCTCTGCATGGGGAGCAAGCTCCCTGCTCAAGCCTGCTCCTCCCCAGACTCCTCGGCCACACTCCCATGGGAGAGGGAAGACTGGAGAGTGGGCGCAGCCTTCAGCGCTCCTGTTTCTCCTCAGAGGGAGCATCAGCCTGTCTCAGGAAGCCCACACATTTCCACGAGAGAACACATTGCCAGTGGTTTAAAAATAGGCCGCTGTTCTGACTCGATCAGAGGGAGGGAGCAAAAGAGACGAGGATGGGAGAGGGATGGAGCCTCCATCTATTTTGTTGATGAATGCTTTTGCAGAAAACTCTGGGGTAACTTTGATGAGGAGAGCTGTTCAGATGGTTAAGTGGGCAGCTTCACCTTTCCTCAGTTAATCACATCTGGCAGCTCATAACATCTGGATATTTGCTTTCTGCCCTCTGAGCAGGGATTGTCCCCAAGAGCACTTAGTCATGGTGGTGGGCGGCTCTCATCATGCTTTCCTCAGCATCCTGGTTGCCCTGACATTTCAGCCTCCCCCTCCTGCAGATGGGGGAGCACTGCTCGACAGCTCCCAGTTCTACCACATACCTGAAAGAATTCTATTTACCTATCGCCAAAGCTTGCTTACAGAGATAGGCTTGGATGAAGGGAACTGCCTGATACCACCTTATTAGCTTTTTGATGGGCCACCTTTTTTTTTCCATGAAGTCCTTCTATCCAAGTCCACATGGGAAGGGGGAAAGATCTCATCTCATGTCAATAATATTACTCAGAAAAATGCCTCACCACCCTCTGTTGTGTGAACTGTCTCATTTATTGTTCTCCTTCTGCATCAAATCCCAGCATATGTTCTGCTGTTATTGCTTTGAAAATATGACATTTATTTTACTTAAGGGAAAAAAGTTATAAAATTAATGAATGCTGCCTTTGTTTACACTTTGATTTTGAACTTTCTGAAAACTTAAATTCTCCTCCTTATTTAGACCAAAGAAAACATAAAAGTGTTTTTGAAGCTGGTTCCTCTCTATGAAATAATCAACATTTACACAGAAAGATAAGTACACATCCCTAGTGGAAAGGCCACCTCTTGCTTAGTCTTCTAATTAGAAGGGTAAATACATTCCTAATTTGTTAATTTCATGGTTGTTGGGAAGAATTAATTGAGTACTTTGGACACACCAGGAGCTATGCCAGTGCATTATATGCTATCAGTTCTTTGATCCCCACAAAATTCCTATGAGGTGTTATTACTCACATTTTGTAGATGAAGAAACAAAGACCCAGGGAGATTAAGACAAGGAATTGTCAGGGTGAGGTGTCAAGATACAAAGCCACATCTGCCTGACATCAAAGCCCACATTCTTTCATATTCCTGTGCTACAGACATTTGATGAAGTGTGATCTTTAGCAATAGCCTTGCAAATAGCCTCCCACATACCCATTTCACTCCAGGGAATATCAGTGAACTGTTCTGGCAAAAGGCTCTTTTCTGTGGCTTGGTGAATAACGCTGACATACCATGCATATCTGAGGAATAAATGGGTAATGGTTGCAGCAGAACCTGGCTATTTCTCTGCTTTAGTGTATTAGTGGGTACTGTTGACTGTTCTACTGGATAAGCCATGAGTCTTAATGACTTTACATTAGGGAGAGTTTACCTCTTAATCATGTGAAATGCAGTATGGGCAACCCTGATAAGGCCTCTCCCCTCCAAGTGGTGACTCAGAGGCACCAGCTCTTTCCACTCCTTGACTACCATTTTTAAACGGTGGCTTCCAACATACCAAAGTTTGTCTTCATCAAGCCAGCAGGAGGGAGGACAGCACCGAGGGCTGCACATGGAGCTTCCCAGGGCCGAGAGCTGGAAGAAGTGCTTTCATTCTTACATGCTCTGAGCTAGAATTCAACCATGCAGCTACCACAAACTGCAGGGGAGGTTGAGAAAACTCATAGAGCTTTCCAGGTAGTGCCCAACAGGTAGAGGAAACATGCTTAGTGCAAAGACTGGCCAGTCTCTAACTTCTGTTGCAAGTGAGCTGAAGAAATACTTGGTCAGGAAGAAGTATAGGAGTGTAGGCTGCTAGACTAGAGTGCACAGCCAGGTAGGTACTCTCATTTGAGGCAAAGCCTTCCAGTGTCAACAAGAAGGGGGATGTGTGAGGCATGAATCCTGACTGCTGTGAACTTGGTTTCCATAATGCAGTCTGCCCCCAATCAGACTAAGTCATATACAGAATGGGCAGATACCATCTATTTGCTATTAACAACTGAAGAAGTGTCATTTCTAGTTCTCACCCCTCCACCTTACTTATATTCCTATATTTAGTGGTTGATTATTTTTATTGTTCATAATCTGAAATACAGAATATGAGAAATTATGTGGGCTTCAATAATTCACATATGGAGGGTTTATTTCTGATCTATTTATTATTAGTTCATCCTTTTGGAACTTTCTGGGAAAGGGAAGAAAAGTCTGTCCTCCTGGTCTCAACTGAGAATTCTCTATTCCTCCACGAAAGAACACTTGTTCCAGACTGAGTTGAGCATCTCTGCAATAGTTATTTTCTGTTGCTATAATAAAATGCCTGAAGCTGGGTACTTTATAAAGAAAAGAGGCTTACGTAATAAACAGTTTTGGAGCCTGGCAACCCAAGATCAGCCTCGCCTCTGACAAGGGCTCCTTTGGCTATGTCACATCATGGTAATGGCATCATAGTGGGAGCACATGTGAGACAGAAGGACCTCATAGAGAGATAGGAAGCCAGAGAGCAGGAGGGTATAGGCTTGCTATTTCATAACAACTTGCTCTTAGGAGAACAACTAGCCCACTCTGTGAGACAGGTTTCAATCCCTGAGGCTTGTGATGCTCCGATGACCCAGTCACTTCCTACCAGGCTTCACCTCTAAATGTCACTACATGGAGGAGTAGGCTTTCAACACATGGATCTTTTAGAGGCACAGCACACTCAAACCACATCCAAACCATAGCATCTTCCTCCCATAGTAACACGCTTATCCCTATAACAAAACTTTTGATGCCTTATTTCAATTTCCTATTTTTCAGATTGTCTCTTCTCAAAACTGAGTGTGTTGAAGTCAGGGATCATGTTCCATTTAGCTGTTAATCTAACATCTTTGAACAAGGCATGCTAATAAGTGCTTGGAGGATTATTTATTCATCAAAAATACTTGAGATTTTGTTGTATACCAGTGATTCTGAGCTGGGACAAATTTTGCCCCCTGGGGGCACTTGGCAATGTCTGGAGACATTTTTGGTTATTTATGACTGTGGGATGCTCTTGGTAGGTGGAATCCTAAGTACCCTATCTCTAACTACCCTAAAATGCACAGGACAGCCCTACAAAAATAGAATTATCCAGCCCCAAATGTCACTAGTATTGAAGTCGAGAAACTCTGCTATTGATCTTTTATGTATTAGAGAGCACACTGGACACTTTATTATGAGGTTGACTTATCATGTCCCTAATGTGACAAAATATAAAATCCAAAGGTAAATGTATGTACTCTAAATCTACTTTGGCCAATTTTTACTTTTGGTTTCCAGAAAGTAGATGAGAAAGAAGAAAAGTTAAATGAAATCAAGAGCAAATAAACAAACCAAAAAGGCAGGCCATTCTACAAGATAACCACCCTGGTCTTCAAAAGTCGACAGTCGTAACTCTGTGGCAGAACCCTTGCCTGGCCTGTATGAGGTCCTGGGTTTGAGCACCCCTGACCCCTAAAACATTAATGTCATGAGGGGGTGGAAGTTGACTGTTACAGATTGAATGAAACTTAGGATAGACAGAGCCACACAAAATTAGGAGAGTCACTGGAATTAAAGTGTTCACAGATCCTTGAGTTATCTAAGAAGGGATGACAGTGATAAATAGTTATCACCCTATCAAATAAGAATGTATGTTATGATCAATGTGATAGCCTTTAAAGGGAGTAGTAAAATATATATATCCCAAATAGAAGAATAAAGGACATGTAAAGTACAAAATATGAGGGATAAAAGGAAAGAAAAGAATACAAGTGAATGGGATAAATAGAAAAACATAGTAAAACAATACATATATCATAATTCATTTATACGTAAGTGGACTAATCCTCCAATTAAAAGAAGATGTCTGCTGGGTGCAGTGGTGCACACCTGTCATCTCAGTGGCTTGGGAAGCTGAGGCAGGAGAATTGCAAGTTCAAAGCCAACCTCAGAAATGGCTAGTCACTAAGTAACTCAGTGAGACCCTGTCTCTAAATAAAATACAAAATAGGGCTGGCGATGTGGCTCAGTGGTTGAGTGCCCCAGAGTTAAATCCTCAGTATCATAAAAGGAAAAAGACAGATTTTTAGTGTGAACTTAAAAAAGCACAGTTATGTGCTGCTTATGAAAACAAATGTTAAATATAAAGTTGAAAATTAAAGATCCATTTGGCCATGAAAATACTAACCAAAAGGTTGATGTCACTCTATTAATACTGGATAAAACAATCTTGGAAAAAAGAAACATTATTGACTATAAAGTGGGACATGTCATAATAACATAGTAAATGCATCAGAAAGATATAGCAGATCTATGTGTGATATGTGTAAAACTGCCTGAAAATACATGAGGCAAATATTGACAGAACCAACATGATAGACAAATTCATGACCATAGTTATCTTTCTCAGTAATTGATA